GGAACTGTCCACAGTCCAATTCTGTCAGATTTAGAGAGCATTTATCAAAAGGTACTAACTTTTTCTGGAGAAGAACAACAAAGCCACTGGAGCGGCACAGCTGAATTTATCTTCAGGCTCAAAATTAAGACCAGAAACATCTAAGTTTTGCACATCAGAGAGACAACACATAGCTATTACAGTGTCCAAATATACCTCTTTTCATCTCTGACACATTCTTCAACAGTCCCTCCATTTGTTATGTCTTTGGCCCCCTCTCTCTTCCCGAGGGTGGGAACTTTCACACACAAAAAAGGCATTTTGAGGCCCACAGTGTCTTAGGGCGGTGATAGGCTGATGTATGAGGAGGGGCATTGTGGGTAGGCATGACAAGCAAAGAGAAGCCATCAGTGGGACATCTAAGGCTCAGGGAATGAAGGCTCTGGCACCCAGAGCCGCTCTCAAACACTGGCTCTCTGATAGAGCCGACCTTGGACTTAATCACTACCAGAAGAAAAGAGCACCGCTTGACAGGAAGATGGAGAGACGGTGGGGGAGAGAGAGAGAGAGAGAGAAAAAGAACTGCAAGAGTAAAAGTGAGAAAAAAAGAGATACATACAGAGGGTGACAAAGACCAAATGCAGAAAGAGATTGCACAGAGAAAGAGACAAACAGGTAACACTGTTCAAAGAGACAGATAATGACTCTGTTGGTGCTGAACATATTTTCAGTGTGGCATGGGCTGCATGAGAAGCAAATCCATGTCTTTAAAGAAACAAACGAAGCGCAGGGGTTACAATAAGGTTTGGCGATTGTTTTTATTTTCATACGATCCAAACGTATTTACTATTGGCGATCTTGAATAACCACGATTGCTGTAGGATAGAAGCAGGAGGGGGTAGGGGGGAGTTACATCCCAGCACACCACTCAAATGCCAGCATGGACCACTTAGTCTTAGTGTCAAAGAGGAACCTAACATCTTGGATATTTCGATATTTCAGAGCCTATCTGCAATCTATGTAAAATATATGTGCCAGTGAAGGCTATGCAGAACACTAATTCATCATTTGTACATTAAAAAAAAATCTATTTAATAGCAATGTCTCTTCTAGTCAAAGAACGTTCAACAATATTATCTTATCTTTATTTTCACAATCCAAACTATATACATAATGTTTACTACTCTTATGGAGTGCCGAGCAAAGTTATGGTGAGCCGGCATATGGACAGAGATTCCGGTTGTCAGATCCATGGAAAAGAGACGGCAAGCTGTTTTTTTAATTAAGGATTTAAATTGTCACTCGTGATGATTAACGGGGCTCAGCTGGTGGACATGCAACTCCACCCAAAACATCTTTAAATACACAGAAGAGCGCAGATTCTGGAGATTACTTTTATAGCATCTTAGTTCTGATAGAAAGTTAGTTAAACTCGCCTTAATATTGGAAAAATAAATTGTTGATCATCCCTTCAATCAATGATATACAATCTCATCACCAATCGGCACAATCAGGTTACACTCAAGCTGCCAGAGTCTTACACCCCTTTAATAACGCCCAACGCCTACACAAACACTAAATCTATTGTGCTTCTAACTCTGCGACTTGTCACAGGCTTGACTAAAGGGTGAACCCTCTGAAACCGAATTAGGAGAATGATTAATCTCATACAGCTCCACAAAAAACACATATAAAGTTCTCAAATTAGTCGCTGAGGGAGAGCGCCAAATCACTGAAAGCTCTGGGACACCCACAAAGCCTCCATCCCAAGATGTTTTGTATCCATTACACAGCCTTGGTGTGTGACAAGCCTCATCAATAAAACTATTACTAATGTCAAGAGCTTAGAGCTAACTTTGAGCTTCAATCTCAAAACCAACCATAAATAAAAATGTACAGTATATCCCTGGCAGGGTAACACAAGAGACCACATCAGACACATGTTTGCGCTTAAAATCATCACAGTTTTTGTTCTGACATTTGAAGGCGTATGTAATGTTTGATATACAACCAGTAGGAAAAGTGTTAGAGAGCTTGTTTTCGATTAGCAGGCTTTACTCTCTCAGCCAGCAGAAGTCTTGATTTGCCTTTTAGTCGCTAACAAGATGACGATTTCTCAAACGGTGCCCTGCTGCAAATATTGAGTTGTGTTGCACGTCACAGAGGAACCACACAGCTCCCGTAGGACTGAAACAGTGAAAAACCATTAAAGGAGCATAAATGCCACAGCTTTACAGTTACTCTACAGACCATCTGCATCGAACTCGGCACCATGGGTGGCCCATTTCAACCATCAGCTCACTTGATTAAGAAAATACGATTTCAATTGATTTCCTCATACCCTAATTTGTGAGAAGTCGGTATTAAGAAAATATCAATCTGAAATGAGTGTGTCATATGAGAGAAGTTAATAAAAGTAATGGATTTTCTTCCTCTTTTTTCTGGTGATAGCTGGATAGCAAGTGAGGAGGTTGGGAAGATTATCATAGAGAGAGAGAAAGAAGGAGCAATCGAGGAAGAAAAGAAGTGGGAGGGAGTGTGTGATAATCGAACAAGAGAGGAGCGCTGCAGTACTGGAAGCACATGCAGGTCCACCGAGTCATCAGAAATGCAACGATTCTAAACGCGAGAATATGATTTTCAATCGACACTGGATGGGACCAAGTGGGAATGAATGAGAGGAGGAATCAACTGCTAAACGAGATAATTACTGTCAGAGATTATAGAGTGACAGAGAGAGGAAGAGGTAGAGAGACAGAGGCAGAAAGAGATGACTCACAGAAATCATGGTTGAAGTAACAGGAACAAAGAGAGAAATGATTTGACTCTAAATCTGTGCAGACAGAATGACTGTGGTAAAAATGTTATCTTTAAAACATATGGGTCTCATCACAATTAATAAATTATGATCAATACCTATTGCTCAATACCCTCAACAATCTTCAAAATTGATTCAAGATTTAGAGTGTACTACATCGTGTGTCAGTACGCCGTGACATCACTGTTGGCTGTTATGCTCACACCCATCAGTGTTACAGGGTGCGTTCTGCTGAAGCAGACTTGAAACACTGTTTTTCAGCCAAGTGTGAAGTTACTCTTTGAATTATTTTATGAAAGAATTGTGACCAAGATATTTACTGAACAGACCACTATAAAGTTGAAATATACATGTGTGCTCTCTAGTAGACAAATATATAAAGGTGACACTATTTCTATCGTACCTTATATATTTCTTTGGCATTTCTGTCCTGCAATTTCTTTTGGAGTCTACAGATATATAGGAGGTATTAAAAGTATACTCAGTGGCCACTTTTTTAGGTCAACCTGTACAATCTAATGCAATCCAATACAACAGCCCTGCCATAACACCTACTGTTCATAATGTTCAGTTTTAGTGACATTATCGGACATCGCACACAACTCAATGTATATTATATTTTTCATTTTTGAAGTCAGAGTTAAAGGTAGTGTAGTACTGGACTACGTTATATTGAGATAACTGTTTGTCCTTGTTTACATACATCAGAATGGGCAGAATATTAGAAACACCTCTGGCTATAATGCAATCCAGTACAATCCCACCACTATGACGTCAGTGCTAACACATATAATATAATTACCACCCCTGTGACAGTGTCAACAAAAACTTAACATTCTCTATGATTGCACAGGTGTTCCTAATAAAGTGGCCACTAAGTGTGTTACTTTTGGAGAAACAGACCTAAACTTTACACAACATTATCAAGGGATTGCTTAAGTTATGACAACCAGACGAAGCTCTTGGCTGAACTTCCTGACTTCTCTGGGGTTATACAAACGCATAATTGGTTGGTTCTTGTTAAAGCTTTTAACCTCGATAAAAAGATGTAAAAACAAGTTATTTTTCAGTTGAGACAAAACCGCAGCTTTGAAAAAAATATAAATATTAGAAGAATTATGAACTTGCTCATCTAAACTCCTAAAAACTTCACCTTGGTTAATACTGTAATAAATAATAATGAGGTGTGCTAGACTGTGCGTGTGGGCGGATGTGTATGAGTCCACCTCCAGGTATGCTAATGCTGTTATGACTGGCTGGCTTCATTACTGTCTGTCTACAACACACTGGCCAAGGTCAGTGGAGGCTGCAAAGATGATAGGGGGCCAAAACCATGAGCACAAATTAATCTGCTGTTTAATCTAATAATGCAGCGTGGCATCGGGTGTCTCAGTCCTATTAACACAACTGTAATTGCATTTGAGGAGGAATGGACGCACGCAGCCCACAAGGGTACGTTCACACTTACGTGTACACCCAAGTACATCAAAAACAAATCGAATTGTATTACTCAGACACACATGGGTGCGGATATAGTGTATACACTCACATAGGTGCACACACACAAGATAGATCTAGATGGACGTTATGTTGGGAAAAGGAAATAATAGGAAAAACAAGGTTCAGCATTTCCTGGTGAATTCAATCCAAGCAATCACTGTGTGAGTGCATGTGTGTCCATGTTTATATGGCATGGCACATCTTAAACCACGGAGCGCTGCTCATTAGCATGGTAATATCCAAACAGCAGGGTGTAGTCAGAACAGCAGCGTATTATTAGGATTCATCTCATTAGGCTTTCATGAGATTTAAAAGTTAACACAAAATAACTTCAAAACTAAGTCTTAGATAAAACACACAGTGAGGTCCTGAGTTTACTCTGTAAAAGTTAATTTCCCCCCCTGGAGACAATGCAGGGCCTGCAGCAACATGGAGAACTGTCCTATTGTAACCGGATTAGACAAAAAAAACTTCACGCTAAAACTTCTGTCGACATTTACTGATATCAGTTATCACTTCAAAAAAATTAAACTGTTGACTGAAATTAACCTTCTTTCAATAGTGCTGCAGAAAACTGCAGCACCTACATTTTTATAGTAAGAAAACACACAAATTGAGTTATTATGAAAGGTCACAACTGAAGGACCCAAGGAAAACTAATATAAATGCGAAAAAAAAGTGAAAACATTTGTGCTATACTTACCGCAGTAAGATGGATGACTCCCTGAGAGGTCACTGGGCATCCCATGAAGCCAACAAACTGTAGCTCAGGACAATGCTCCGCAACGGCTCGCACAGACCGATCAGTGACCTGGAGAGTAGAACAGAACAGAGTTTAAATTAGAATCCTGGCTAAGAAATCTCTTTATCTTCATATTAAAATAGCTGCTATCATTATTTCTGAAGTGGTTCACGTTTTCTCTTCCTAATACCAATTTAATTTAATCCATTCTTCCAAATTTCCAAATGAAAGACTTATTTCTTTGTCTTTATTGGACAGTTTGCAGTGGGGAAAAGCTGAGCTTGCCTGTCATTTTAATTCTATTAGGAGTACTTTCCCAAAACGAGTGTGTGGAGACAGGTGCTGTCAGATTAAAGCATAAATGCCCACTCCACATGTGCGGTGGATTGGGTGTGTTTTGTGTTCGATGACAAAAGGAGTGAGAGGAGGAGGACTACAGAAGGAGAGGAGTCGAAGGATGGTAACGGACAAGCTAAACAACTAAAAGAGCATGTCTGCCAAGCAGCGAGAGTGTCGCCTTATGATGGATGGACCATTCCCCATCATTCACCCGGCCGTCTACTAACAGCTCATAATGGATCAGAGATCAATAGGGAAGCAGAACATTTCCACAAGCTTCCACTGTAGTCATCAATACGGGTATTGATAGCTACTTCACCCCCCTCATCACACTCAACACTGCAACAATACGTGGGTGATTGTTTGTCCTCTCTGTAGGCTTCCTCAGTGCTTCCTCAAACTCTTCATCAATCACAAAGACAAAATAAGATGAGAAGAAGAGAGAGAATTGACTATGCTGTGATTAACTGGGAAAACAAAGAAAAACAAACATCAAAGAACATTAGAGAACAAAAATTGCTTTTTCTAAGCAACCCTTTCAAAAACTTCTTTTTGAAATTCCCAAAATGCAAGTCAGGCAAAATGTACATTTGAATACATGCACAAGGCACATCAACTAGTGATGGATGCATACAAACACAAACCTTTCCTTGTCAACCTAAACATGTTTGGAAAAATCAAATCTGTCAATGTGCACTTAGACTGCAATCTACTGAACTAAATGAAATCTGTGCCTGAACTTTAATGTTCTATATGAAATACTGAGAGGAATGAACTTTGGAAGAAACAAGACTAGAGCTTGAGAAGGTGGCAAATGAGACATTATATAGGCTACAACTATTTTACATAAAAACTGTCAGTCAATACCAGATTTTCAAAGATAGGTCGCAATGTAAAAAAAACATTTGAAAGACATTTTTACAGCAAGAAAAAGCTTTGGCATCTCATATATTTTTTGGTTTCCGCTGAAAAAGGATGATTCTGATCGGTCTGACAGTTTGTCGGTATAAGTCATAATGCAGGAAGGTTTCCAAACAGTGTGTCAACCACTGCTCCTCCTGCGGCACTGTCTTTACTATACGCTGACAAGGTAATTAATTAGCCAGTTAGACTGGAGATAGTGGTGATTCGCCAATGGAGTTGTAGTGTTTAGCTGTACAACAACAGAAATCTTGTCCAGTTACAAATCGGAGGCAATCACAGCAAAAGTTGTAATGGTTGCTAATCCATTGTTTTATGGATTATTATATCATTCACAAAGGTGTACCTGAAATTACAGTTTTGAAGTTATGATCTTTGAGTTTTTGAAACTTGTGTGTTAAAGGACTAGTGTGTAAGATTTAATTAACTGAATACCTGAGAATGAGAACGGGCTGTGTAGGAGGAACTACGGTGGCCGCAAACTCCCAAAAAACACAAAAGCCCATATGTACAGCCAGCGTTTTGTTTGTCCATCATTGGCGTTTCAATGTGGCGGACTCCATGGGAGGCGACCCCAGAAAGGATTGGATGAACATCGACAGAAAGTGGAAACTTGCAAGCTGGAAATTTACCTAAAAAATATCCTGCAACAACAGACTTAAATATACAGCTCTTGATAAAGTATGCAGGTACATACACCAAGTAACACCAATTAAACTAGTACTTAACTTACTTAGTAAGTCTTGCTCTTTACTGATCACTACACTTGTACATATAGCCTTCATTCTCTTGATGTTACATACACAGCCTTAGACTTCACAACTCTGTCACTCTCATGCTGCCGCTACCTCCCTCTTTCTTCCTCCCCTCTCACTGGCGTCCTCCCCCCAGGAGGTCTTAAATGTTACTGAGTCGAGGCAGAGGAAGATGGAAAACCCGAGAGACAGGCGAGGGGAAAGAGAAGTCACAAAAAGAAAGAACAAGGTGTCCATTTATCTTTCACCAAGTCACATACAGTATAGCTTATCTGGGTAAAACACCTCCTCTAAATCTAGTGAAGCTCAGAGGTTTCTCACCTTATCAGAAAGGAGGTGAAGTTCTTGTAAAGTGCAAAATGGTTCATAAAGGAATATGACTGCAAAAGATTTCAAGTCACAGGTGAGGCAGTGGAAGTAAGTTTTGAGGTATAATTTAGCAAGGTTAGTAGCAAAACAAGGTTTGAGAAAGGTTTTAGGTTAGAACTCTTTATTCTGCCTCTGACCAAAAACAAAACTTGAATTGAAAGAAAGGAGGACAGTGCTGTTTTGTACTATTTTTATTTTTTTTTTTACCCTTGTCGATCTTGGTTGGATGGATGGCAATATCATCTGGTTTTTGTACAGACATTCATGAACCCCAGAGGATGAATTTCACTGATTTTGGTGATCCTCTGACTTTATTTTGAGGAATGTTTTGACAACTATTTGAGGGACTGCTATGAAATTTGGTACTCCATCAGAATTAATTTTAATCACTTTAGTCAGCCGTTGACTTTTCATTTTCTTAATTTGTCCAATACTTAGGTTTATATCCAAACACCACCAAAATGAATGACATTCCCATCAGGCCCAGCTGTACTTTGTAATTTGTGCTAATTAGCAAATGTCAAGATGCTAAGATGCTAAACTAAGACGGTGAACATAAAAAACATCATATCTGCTAAGCAGTAGCATGATAGCAATGCCACTGGGAGCGTGTTAGCATGCTGACATTAGCATTTAGCTCAAACCATGGCTATGCCCAAGTATAGCCTCACAGAGCTGCCACTGTGGCTGCAGACACAATATTTTGGGGGAAAAGAACTTAAATAGGGCTTTAACAGATGAGGTGCATCACATTAGCACCAATTCAAATGATAAACCTCTTTTTTTTAATCCCCAAACTGTCAAATCAAGTTTACCCTATGACATAAGAAGTGTCTCTACCGGCCATACCGACAATAGTTTTCAACATCAGAGCTTTTTCATTATAATCGGAATTACATTTTTTTATTTTTTTTTTTTTTAAAGCAGTGCTCAAGAGATGATCTGTATATTTTAAGCAACAAAATCTACCACAACAGAACTATTCATCCTGGACACAATTGTGTGTCCCAGTTGCAGTAGCTCACTGTTCTTGCTAGCTTTGTACAGAACAGTTTTTCAAGGAAATCAATAACTGGATGCACTTTAAAATTCTATACCTCCGGTTTGGACCCACCATGCCACCCATCAACACTCGCTGCAGTCAGAAAAGATTAACCGAAGGTGAGTCAGCGCTCCCACTCCGAGACACTGATGCATATGGAACCTGATCTGCAGGGCCAGGTGGAGATGGGGGGTTGAGTAGAGTGGAGTTGTCTTTTTGAGTCTGAAACTTGGGGAGGAAAAAAAGCTCCAGAAGGACCAGCCTGAGCTGAGCAGCTGGCAGGTGAAGTGAGCTGGCCGAAGCTCCCCCCAGCATGGCCTCTGCCAAAAAACCATCAAGGAAAACATTTTAAGGTTGGCTACCAGCAGAATCAAAAAGCTACACACCGTCGTGATCCTTAAATCAAAACCGTCTGCGAGAGAAGCAAACGAATCACAGCCGTCCACCTCTAGACTGTCTGTCATACCAGTGTTTGTGCTGCAAGAGTGTGTGGGTGTAGTTGGGTGTGTGTGTGCGTGCACGTGTGTATGCTTGTGTTTGAAAGCAGAAGAGACAAAAAGAAAGAGAGCAGGTTACACATCTACAGTAACTCTCATCAGGTGAGAGGGGAGACAGAAGAGAAAAAAATAAAATCCCACCGGAGCAGAACAGGCCAGGAGGGCATGTACCGTATAAGATTAAGCCTGTGTATGCGAGTGTGTGAGTGTGTGAGTGTGTGTGTGTGTTTGTGAGAGAGAGTAAGACCATATGGGTTTGTTACTAAGATTTGTCTCCAACCCACAAACACAAAAACCCGTCCCAAATTTCTCTTTGCTTCCCCCTCCTCCCCCTCAACCTTTCACGGACTTTGATTTAAAAACACGAAAAGAGCCATGGCAGGGCTTTGGAGAAGAAGTAGCTAGCCAAGAGAGGCCTTAAAGCCTTTTAGAAGGGATCTGGTTTAATGGTCTCTGGGTGAAGGAGGTAAGGAAAGCAAGAAAAAAAAGTGGGCTGGAATGGTGGAAATGCTGCAGTCATAAAGATAGCCTTTGTGTGTGATAATGTGATGTCAGTGTGTGACTGTGTGGTGTGTGTGTGTGTGTGGTGGTGTGTGTGTCTGTGTGTGTTTTAAAGAGCTGGAAGGTAATTGTTGAGAGTGCTGTGGTAGCAAAAAGGGGTAATGCTGTATGTGAGTGTGGTTTTTGTCTGGCGGTCTGTTCTTAGAAAACGCTGGGGCAGCACCCGGGGGCCACTTCTCATCCAATAAGGGCATTTAAGCTTGTCAATATTGTCTATCATACGACTCGTTTGACTCCATCAAACACGCAGGCAATAGAGATGTAAATAGAAGAAAGACCAGAGCAGACTGCCGTTTATCTCTTTCATCCTTTGCTCCATCGTGTTCTTCTCATTTAAAACTGTCCGATTCCCACTGACAAAAACGACAAAAATGCAACCTCCCTCACATCATTATTTGTGTTCTTTCTTTCTTTTATTCCTTCCTTAGTGCGTGTTTTACCCACACATACACAGAGACACACAGAGACACACACACAGGTCAAGCCGGTTTCACCAGCGAGAGAGATGGCAGTGAGTATGCGGAGGGCAGGCACGCTGTCATTTGTCTATGTTTTAAACTCTGATAATGATACACAATCACATAT